TAGTAGTAGGAGTCGGAGTGGTAGTGGTAGTGGTAGTGGTAGTAGTAGAGGTAGTAGTGGAGGTTTTTTGTGCGGTGTACCGTCATTGCTTTTGAGTGCTGCATGGACGACCGAGATGATCATGACGACGGCAACGACAAAGTAGCTCCCAAGAGCCAACTTGATGAGAAATAAGACAACCGCCGTCCTCATAGGGCCCCCCACGACAAGGTAAGCCCAGCGTTCGAGAAATCGGCGTCGCTTCCTTGGCCCAAGTCTCCTTCTTGCGGCGTGCACGAGAAACACTTGGAGCTCGGGGCAGTGGCCGGAGTTGCCACGCCGAAGGCCCCGTAGCCAGCGGCACATGGCACTTGCAGGCCCTGCAGCGAACAAAAAAATCGACGCGGCCAACACTCAGCTGCAAATCACAAAGCACAAAGCATCCACCACACCTCCGAAGCGCGGGAAATCGGCAAAGTTGGCATAATCCGCGTGGCCTCTCGAGCAGCCGGCATCCCCCAAATTTCAGCAAGTCTTGCTCCGAGCCCTCCGGGCCTGCTGGGGCTCGGCTCTTTCGGCAGCAGCCTGACCGTCAGATGCACCGCAGGCCTAGGAGACAAGGATCATGAATGCCCCTTGCCTTGACTGCAGAGCCGCAGTTGCCCGTGGCCGCAACCACCGCGGCGCGCCAAAGGGCCTTTCCACTCGAGCTCTTGCTGTGTTGGCAGGTGGTGGCCAATCGGGCTCAAGGTTCTGCGTTCTCAACGCGCTCTAGACACCGCCTCAGCCGAAAACAGGTGCTGAAGCAGTTGAGGCTGAAATTGTGAACGTGACCACTGAAGCTACTGTCCGGCCAACTGTCTTCGGAATCAGTGCAAGCAGCCTTTCGGTACTCGGGAAAGACCTACTGTCAAACCCTACAGAAGAGAACGGCGCAAAGTCGAGCTTTTCTTACTAGGCCCGCCTTGACCTCATCCTTGGCCGTAAACTCCTCATGCGGGCTGAGATCACGACAAGGATCAAGTAGCTCCGAGCGGGGCTGGGTTCAGGCCGAGAAGCGACCGGAGCCAAAGGCTCATCCAGAGCGTGTGCGGCGCCATCCACCTCTGTGTCCCCCCCACATGGCTTTGCCACACTTTTAACGCCTCCGCCCGAGCCTGCAGCTTGTCGATGTCCATCGAGCCTTGGCCGCAGGTTCCCTTGGGTTAGAGGCCCCCCGCAACCCAAAAAACCCTCCGTCCTTGGACCCGCAGCAGCTCAGTGCTGAGCTGAACTTGATGTCCTCCCAACTTCCGGCTGAAGTCGTGTAGAGCAGCCTCCCACTCCAACCGTCCTGGTTGAGGAATGCAGCCCTGACGCTTGAAGTTGTAGGAGCGACATAAAAAATTTTTTATGTCTGTCTTCATTCCGCGTACAGAGGTCGCGTTTAGCACGTGACCCCATGTAATCATGTGCGCAGCCATTTATGTGGCCAAGCCCTGAATGAGTTCTGTGAACGAAAGCTCGGATTCGTTGATGGCCACGTGGATGTAAAAGCTGCGTGTTGTGATCGGCTTGAGTACCTTTTCAAAAGTAGTGCAGTGCAGACTTCAAGTTACTCGCCAAAAAATGTCTGGCGGTTCTGGGACTAGCCCATTTGTGGCGCATTCATCTGCTGGGGGTTTGGCAGGTGGAGGTGATCCTGGTTTCGCTAGAGCTCCATCCTTCACAACTGCAAGTGGTTTGGTCAGAGGAAGGACCTCTGGTCACGAACAAGACGGTGAGCTCAGAGAACGTTCGGCTTTCACCGCAGCGGGCAGGCCTAGACAACCACAGGCATTGCCGTCAGATAGTCCATCAGTTACAGAGTTGTTGATGGAACAGAATCGCCTGTTGATGCAACAATTGCAGGCCTTACAGACTCAGGTCAGTGGACAACAAGTGGCGAAAGAGGATCATACACACTCGTCACATGAATTCCATGAGCCGAAGCAGCTCCTGGAGGGCATAGACCCGGGCTTGAAGAAGGTTTTCGAGGACTTCGCCAAAGAAACAGAACATCTGTTTGCAGCATGGGCCACGCAGAGGACTTTGACGGAGAAGTATTCGGCTTTACAATCAGACAACAAGTTGCACCCGCATTTCCAAGCGGAAGCTAGCTTCAAGTGGCAGTTTACCAAGCTGTATGCTTCACATGCCAAGCCGGTGGATTGTGAGGAGCAAATGGCGGATGATGATTACGAGCTTTCAGTTGCTTGGGCGGAGCTCAGGAAGAAGCATGCCAACGAGTGCTTCCAGTTCGTATGTCAACATCAAGAGCGCTGTCTGCAAGTATACGACAATGCAGTGTCACAGACAAGCTTGCAGTTGCAGCTGAGCGATAAAGTTGAAGCATGGTTTGCGGAGCATGAGTTTAGCGATGCAAACATCAAGCGCGTCATGTTGCAGAAGGCTGTATCTTATGTGGAAAGTCTGATCAGGTTGAAGAGGCCTTCTATTCAAGCCAGGATGAACAAAGACAAACAAATAAAGCAGAAACGGGAGCAAGCTTTGACAGATGCTATGACAAAGTTTGAAAGCATGGACGTTAAGGATGTTTTATCACCGGCTTTGTTTGAACTTGCAAAGCTTGGAGGATCAAGGAAAAAGCCTGTCACTTTGAAGGATGATAGTGCCCTCGCGTTCTTGGTGAAAGACAATCCGGAGTTGCGGGAGAAGCATGGATTGAAAATTGTGTCAGCTTCGGCAGCTCGTCGGAGAACTCCGACGCCCAAGCGAAGACCGCAAAAGCCATCACGATCCCCGGGGAGATCCAATTCAGCTTCAAGAAAGCGTCAATCTATTCTCAAAGATCCGCACAAGCAAGTGAGATTCACCGAGAATGACAAGGGCAAGGGAAAAGGAAAAGACAAGGGCAAAGATGGCAAAGGCAAGGGCAAGTCGAAAGGAAAATAGCACATCGCAGCAGGGGTCGAGGTTTCTGGACGGATGCAGAAAAGTGCAGTATTGATTTCTTTAAGTTCTGTGTCGCGCAAACGTTGCGCAAAGAATTCAGATCATTGCTGCAGAAACCTGTGTTCAAAGGCGTCCACAACTTGGTCCCTGCAGATGTGCTTGAGGTTCCACAGTATGTTTTGCTACACTTGGCGAAGGGTGGGAAGTTCATTCCGTCTTATCGTGGTTCATCCCATCCAGCCGCAAATTCAGAACTCGACAGATTGCACAGACGTCTGTTGTTATGCAAGTTTTTCCCAGATGACAACCGAAGTATGACGAGGTGTCGTTTGAGGAGCTCCTGGCAGCCACCTTCTGACAGTAATGTTGACATTTTCATGAGGTTGCTGAAGCGGGAGTTTGCAAGTTATGAGTTCCAGACTGCGCGAGCTAATTGGTCTTGGCTTGATAGGAAAGCTTTGGCATGGCTTGCGCAACACCGTGATAGCATTGCAGTCGTGGACTGCGACAAGGGACTTGGAGATGCGCTTGTGTCGAGGGCATGGATTCGTCAGCAAGTTTATTCCCAACTTTCTCAGGGGTTTGTACAGATATCGGATTACGATTTTCAGACCAGGATGGACGGCTGCAAACAACATGCAGATGCATTGGTGCAGTTTTTTCGTTCGTCAGGCACGCTTTCCGATGGCATTAGTCGGTTTTTACTCGGCACACTACATGAAAAACGCGCAGGTACCTTCAGAATTCTTGTCAAAGTCCACAAGATCCCAACCGCATCTAGACCTATATGCAATTTGCGAGGTGTTTGGATGGCTCCGTTTGCAACTTTTTTGGTGGAACAACTAAACCCGCTGCTGAGTAAGCTGCAATCTGTTGTGGTTTCCACCGACCAGTTGCTTGAAGAGTTGAGCACCGTGCAGTGTAGGCCTGGAATGAAGTTTCTCACATTCGACGTTGTGAACTTGTATCCGTCAGTGGATCGATGCCATTTCCTGTCGGTCATCAGCGGTTTTCTGCGGACGAGGATGCCAAATCATTCTTTGTGCACTTTCGTGATTCGTGCCCTGGAGTTGATATTGAGCGCATGCTTCGTTACGTTCGAAGGCTGCAAATATGAAAGTACAGACGGCATTCCGACTGGGCTAGCAGTTGCTAGCATCGTTGCAAACATTTATCTCTGGCATTTGGATTGCTTCATTGCTGAGCAAGCGGGTGAGCTCTTGCAGTTCATTCGCAGATATGTTGACGATTTGCTTCTGTTATGTCGCGGTTCTCATCAATGGCTTGGTGAAATTTTGCATCGATGGCACCCTTCCCTGAAGTTTGAGCTGTCAGGAAGTATGGAGGCTAGTCGGCAAGTTCAATATTTGGATGTGAATCTGGGCATACAGGATGATAGAAGTGTGACGTGGAGTCTGTTTAACAAGCCACAAAATCTTCACTTGTACATTCCTGCTTGTAGCAATCATCCTCCAGCTGCGTTTAAATCCTTGCAAATTGGAGGATTCATACGTTGTCAGCGTCGCAATCGGCTCAGCGCTGATGCGGAGCGAAGTCTGACAGAGTTCAAACGCAATCTCAAACAAAGAGGCTACAGCCTCGCTGCTTTTGACAAGTTAGTGCGTAGTTACAAGCTCAAAGGAGCTGGCAATGGGAATATGTCTTCCAAGACTCGCAAAGTGTTTGTGAAAGTATCTTTCAACAAAGGGACTCAAGCCTCATGGCTGAGAGCAAAGCTCTGTAAATACGCTTCCTTGTTGAAGAATTCTGTTCCACATGTTCACTTGGGTCTCTGTTGGACCGTTGGGAAAAACATGTTCCAGCGGCGCTACGGAGACACATGGCGATGTTTTGGTCAAAGGGTCGGTTGAGGGTGGGACCAAAAAATTTTTTATGTCTGTCTTCATTCCGCGTACAGAGGTCGCGTTTAGCACGTGACCCCATGTAATCATGTGCGCAGCCATTTATGTGGCCAAGCCCTGAATGAGTTCTGTGAACGAAAGCTCGGATTCGTTGATGGCCACGTGGATGTAAAAGCTGCGTGTTGTGATCGGCTTGAGTACCTTTTCAAAAGTAGTGCGGTGAGATCACAGTTGTTGCAAGGAAGCGGCCAGCAGCACAACGACACGGAATGTCTCTCCCGGGCATTCGTAGCTGCACTGCTCCTGTCTCAGGAAGGCCAGGATGTTCCGGAACTGCTCCAAGGGCAACTTGCCCTCCACCTCTGCAAAAAGCCACCAAAGGGCCCACCAAACAAGGGCCCACGCAAGGCCCAAGGAAAAGGCCAAGGCCCGCCTTCCAGGAGGCGATGGCTTTCAGCATCAGTCGCAGGACGCCTCGTAGCCTCGGAGAGCGCTGTCGTGATAAACAGACAGAAGCATGCAGAGCTCGCAGAGAGCTCGCAGAGAGCTGGCAAAGCTCAGACCATGGCAAGGGTTGCTGCGGCATGTGCGTCATTTCCTGAAACTGCACCATTCGCAGCTCTTGGTCAAACGGCAATGGCAGATCGTGCGAGTTATGACACTATTATTGCTTGAAAGGGGCCATGAAGCCCTGAATACTACCAGCCTGGACGAACAAGATGGCGGTGGTCTTGTTGGCCAGTGGAACATGGCTCCTGTGGCAGAACATCAATGTCTTGTCCAAGCAGCCTGGAACATGGACAGTGGCGTCCTTGTCTCTGCCACGTAGTCTTCCACACTGAGGCGTCCCCTGCAAGAACGACTTGCGTCGTCAAGAGCTCTGTCGAGAACTCCGTTTGCGCTGCGACTGTTTTACATGCAACAACTTGATGCCGGTGATGTTGCCATTGCTACTACTAGTAAGGAATTTCACTGAATCCTGACCGCACACCTGCCGCGCCTGAAATTGTCCTGACCGCCGATCAGCAGAAAGCTCACTGCAGACTCCGGCCAGCGCACGGGAGTTGGCAACTTCATAGCCTGAGCTCTGCTGGAATCTTGATTGACACTCACCTTTGCTTCGCTGACCATGCCTTGGCTGCGACTTTATCGTGGTAGTTGATTTTGTGCTGCTTGCTGCCCACAGTCGTGCTGCAAGCTTGATAGAGTGCTCGAATCATTGATTTCCGTTCCCACGACGTTTGTGCGTGGCAGTGCAACCAGCGCCAGTTTCGTCGTGGTTGCTGTCGTCCAAGATTCTTTCTGTCACTATCGTGCTGTGACTTTGTTGCAGCCCTTGCCACGTTCTGTGTTCTTCTAATCATGGCGAGCGCGACACCTAGCACGATTGTTGAGATGTGCTAAGCTCGATCGTGATGCTTTCAGTACTTCTGTTGTCAAGCAATTCCATTGTCAAGAAGACTGGGCTCGAGCGATCAGATATCTGATCTTGCCCAAAGCCATTACGCCCGGAAGTCCTACCGCCTAGGTTTCCCAAGTGCAAAAACACCCAAAACTAACTTGGAGCCATGCGCAACCGCCGTTGATGACCACGACCTCTGCTTTGCTGGGCTTCGACCGCAGGTGGCTTAGGGTGTGCATTTTTTTGACGGATTAGGGACTCAAGTGAAAGCCGACCGAACCGGAGAATGAGGGTCCTGGTTGGATGGATGCACGAAGCCGTTTCTGTCGAGAGAGATGCTCTGTTGAGAAAATATTCCTCTACATTGGATTATGCTGAGCAGACTGAGCAGGTATAGGCAAAGGGAGCAAAGCGGCATCTGATCGCAGCCATTTGATGCAGAAGGTACATAATCTGGCGTAAACATCCACACAAAACTGTACAGCATAGTAGTCATGCCCACATACACCCAGAACCAACGGAAGCAACAACACATGTTCATGCCACAAAGGCCCCACATGAAGTTTCAACAGCTGAAGCCATACGGAACGTGTCAGGGTTCCATGTAAAGGCCAAAGGCCTCTCAAGCGCCGGAGAGTCTGAGCAGAGTGCCGGCGGCACCGGAGGACAAAGCCCATGTTCCTGCATGTGGGGTTTAGCAGGATCCGGGCTTATTCATGGTTTGGGGGTTCAGTGCTGTACGAACAGAGGTATGCGTCATGAGCATGTAGCACAGGAGCTCAAGATAGACAGGTACATACCTAGAGTCCTAAAGGCAAAACCGCTGAAAACACGCAGCGAGCTGGCGACCTGAGCCTGCCAGAGGTGTGGCAGGACCTTAAGTAAGGGGAGCCAAACAGAATGTAAGGCGGCAAGGGGTTCAGGATTTAGAGCTTGCACTAAGGGTTTTTGCACATAACGAAGTTGACTTCGGGGCTTCCGATACGCTCACAAGAAACTTGGACGAGGTCTCCTGTCGGATCTGGGACAGAGCCACACAGGGATCAAGCCCCAAACCCTAAACCTCAAAGACGTGGGCATGGCTGGAGAGAGCCTCGGGTCCGGGCCACTTGGCCTCCCCGGGAGCCGAAGACCATCGTCTGAACTTCCTTGTGCACGCCGGTCTCGAGGACCTGCAGGATGCTGAAGGGGGCTGGGCTTTGGGATTTAGACGGAAAGATTCACGGGGCAGTGTTGAGGGGCTTCAGGGGGTTTAGAAGTGTTTGTCATGCTGCCTTCTATGGCATGCAGGAAAGTGCAGGGCCACATGGCTATCCTAGTGACCGTAGTGCCATGGAGAGAACCAGCTGTTGCCCCTCTCATCACGGCAGATGGGAAGGATCATGCTGCGGGCCGGCACTTGAGAGCACTGCTTCTGCCCGGCAGCAAAACCCACGTCTTGGCTCTTCCCAACCTCGTCTGCGAAAGTCTGCAGATTCGGCGCAGGAGCACCGTGAGGCCAGCATGGCCTTCGCGGAGAAACAGCATGCCGTGCGAACAAGAGGAATGAACAAGATGAGCATGAATCTTGACGACGACGAGGCTGAAGATGAGCAAGATGAAGGTGCAGGCGAAGATTTGTAGCACTGAGCATAGTATAACAGCGACATGCCAACGTGCTACTGTACTGACATGGGTTATATAACTATGCCGATGATCTTGAGGATTCTGATGTAAGTGAGGCTCACTGAGTTTAACCTAATGGTTTGAGTTGGTACTTGCACAGCGGGTGGCTCGTGAAACTCTGCGGATAGGGCACGCAGAAGATGGGTTCAACGACCTCACATACCCGTGCCCCTGCATATTACAACACTCATTTGTTGTCGTCGAGCGGTGCTAGCTGCGTTTGGTAGGCTGTAGGCAACGGGCAGTTACTGTTGTTTTTGTGGTTGCAGTTGTTGATGCAATTGCTGCCGTGGTTGTGCCAGAGCTGGTAGTCTATGGGTATCTCTCGGCCAAGCAGCGGGTAGACGTCATACGGCGCCCGAGAGCGTCCGACCACCTCAACCTGGCAGCGGCATCTGCATCCCTCAAAGCCTGAAAGTCTGGACCTCCACAAATCACGGGTAGGAGGATACGAGATTCGTGCCCTGCAACGTCTAAACCTTCGCAGACCGCTCTTGCCTGCCTTGAACGATGGATTCCGGCCCAGCTCGGAGTAAATCGCGCCGTTGATGCCAGTGCCGGCACCTGCCCGCCCCGAAGTAAGCGGGGGTCTGTACACCATTGAAAGGGCACACAGAAGTACGCCTTCTGGAGAGGACAAGTAGTTGGAACGACAACAAACCAGCTGCAAGTCCACCGATGGCTTTCTGGAAGCTTGCCTAAACCCGCAAGCCCATCACCACAAGCAAAAGCAGAACAGCAACCGAAGCGCAACAAATCCCAACACTAACCATCCCAGAGCCCAAGCAGTGGTGCATTCACGACCTTAAACTTCAGATCTCCAAACCCTGCAGGCCCTGTCAAGGAAACTGAAGCAGCTTCGGGCACCGGCCTGGTGCGACGACGGCCACCGTGATCTTGGAGGAAATAGCGGGCTTGATCTCAACCTTCATCTCCTCAGCTCAGGTGCTAGACTAGAGCGGCTTCCAGCTTTCAGCTAGGGAGTTGTGGGTTTTGTTTTCTGGCTCGGCATCTTCACAACATCTCTGGGCTTGATCCGTGTTTTGGATTAGGCTGGGATACTTCGGTTGCTTCTGAAGAGTGAGCCAAGGTCAATAGCGGGCCATCTGGTGCGGTATGGAGCTCTGCAGATGCAGGCTGATGGCGAGTAGTAACTGATGATTCGCTATCAGAAGTTATAACTCACAGTTAAACAGTGATACTGTGTGCCATGTGCATGACCCCGTGAAGTTGAGTAGTTATGTGGATGTTGATGAGCTCGATACGCTTCTTGCTTCAGATCTGCCTGTCAGTATTTCTTCGGTTATCCTTGCGATGGCCCCTGGCTGAATCGGAACGACAGTACAGCACGTCTCATATGAAGTCTGGCCCGTCCGTAGCAAAAGAGCACCTTTTATGGTCCTGCCCTGAGCTCCTGGCAGGGCTGACTCCCGACATGGGCACCTGCAAATGGCCTCGCCAATGGTTCGGGTTGTGATGATTCGATGGGCTTGTGTACTGGGGATTGGTTTTGTCAGGCTTTCGGGATCAATGTTGCCAGAATCAAGCAACTTCGGCAAACAAAGCTGTAGTCCTTGAGCCCAGCATTGGCATTCCCATTGTCGAACAAAGCACATCGGGTTGAGGGAGCGTTTGAAAGAGAGTGCAAGAACGGTCCGGACCTTGCCCTCCTTGCCGCGGCACCATAGGCGGCATTTCCGGTCAACGGGGAAGAGACATCCGATATCTTTGTGAATGTTTATGTCCTCAAGATTGGCGAGCTCCACCCCAGTCCCAAATCGTATATCCCTAAAGCCTGCACCCTGCACCACCCGTGACGCCGCCTTCCGTCCGAGCCCTCCGGCGAGTTCGCTGGATCACCTGGCAGGCCGCTACAGTCACAAGGGTTGCCGAGCGAGGGGCATGCAGGTCAGGCGCTTTTGTGGAAACGGGACAGGTGCCTCAGGTAGCTTGCCTGCGTTTTACACGAGCACAAATGCAGAAGCAGTTGAATTAGTATGTCGCACGTGCGCACACATCTCAAACAATGATGCCTGGCCCGAGCCAATCCAATATACTTAAGAACCAGAACAGTAAATCCCTCTAAGTCGAACCCTTTATCCTGCACGCCTCCCAAGGGCTCTTCAATCCTAGCCAACTCCCCCCTGTCCCGCCCCAGCTCACCGATGGCCTCCGAACCTCCAGGCCTCGGAGAGGACAGGAGGGAAGCTGCCGGTGATCTACCGGTTTTTTCATTTTTTTGAAGTGTAGTGGCCCCCTTTCTCCGCTGCACAGAGGTTGGAAACCCGCCTGGACCAGGCTTACACTGGTCGGCAGGAAAAGTAGAATAGACTCTTCCTACAAATCTCGACTACGGCTTCTCTCACGGTCAAACACCCTGCTCAGTCTAGGTCTTTGGCGAGACTCTTCTTCAATGTCACTGCTGGATCTACCGGTTTAGGGTTCCAGGCTTGGTTTAGGGTTGGGGGTTTGGGGCTCAGGGTCGAGAGTAATTGGTCGAGGGTAGTCCAATGTCTGGGACCAGGAGTTCGATGGTAGAAACCTGTCGGGACTACAGTGATGCAATCACTCTGCTCTTCACTGAGTCTTCAGCTGGGAAATCGGTACTACAACATCCAAACAGACCTTAAGAGTTACATCCTCCCCGAGTCGGCTTTTTCTAATTATCCAACGGGAGCTTCGATGCATCTTTCACTCCTTTCGACCCCAGGCCTATCTACAGCCTGAGGCCGCAGGCGTCTTCGGCGATGTCGGCGGTGAGCCCCAGTTCAAAAGAGCAGCCTCCGTGGGATTTTTGGACAAGGGGGATCATTTATCTAGACACCAAGCCATCGAACTAATGTAGGAGCCTCAGCCAATATCCTTGCAATCCTGAAATTCCCACTGGTTGTAGTTGTAATTTTAACTTGCTAACATGCTCCGGAAATTCCGTTGGAAGTCAGCGCTCAAGCACGATTCGATGCATCTTCGTCTGCAGCAAAGGCAATGGAGGGGCTACACCTCATTAATGCGCCATCGACTACGCCATCTCAAAGATACCACCTGCCCGAAACTCCAAGCTCCAAACCCTAAACCCCACACCCCAACCCCGACCGCTGCACATGCAGCTTCTCCCTGCCTTGGGCGTCTGGCCCACCGTTCGGATGAAGGGTGTGCTGGTGCCAGTAGGGCTGAGCCCTGCCGAGACTTGCAACAAGCTCCAGTCTGGATTCTAGGTTAGGGTTCAGAACCTAGGAGGTTATCCAACACCACCTTGATTTGTTGCAGAACTTCGAGACCCGTCAGTCTCTTGTTCGGAGTAGCGGCAAAGGAACCCCGCCCCCTGGACGAACTTTTCGGAAACTGCAAGTGAGCACGCTGGAAACATGTGCAGCTCAGTATATCCACAAGCAACAGACAGTTCAGAGGGAGGACTAACTTCCTCCGCGCCGTGAACACCTCAACACGCGGGTTACCCGCTTGCTGTGCGATATGTTCCGCTTTCCCACATGGTCTAGGTCTAGCGTCCTTATCCCTGATCGCCACGCCTCAGCGTTTTGTCTTGTGGCTAGGCTTGTCAGGGTGTGTCCCGGTTGGGTGTGTCGACGGCAGCCGCATGGACTCCAACTCTTCTTTGACGCATGGGCCGTCAGTTTAGTCTGCTTGGAGCCCAATGGCACGCAGGAGGCAGCAAGGAAGAGCTAGAGTGGGCTGGCGGAGCACTGACAGAGTCGCGGCTGCCCTGTGAAACAATCCATCTCTTCAGGTCGTTCTGGCGGGAGCTGTGGGGAGTTAGGACATGAACGACAGAAACACCCGAAGCCCCAAACACTTGGCCTTGGTTCAGGATGCCGGCAAGGTCCAAATGGTGCTCAGCCTCCCGTCGTGCCTGGAGTGCGGCCCGGATTCTGAGGCCACAGGCTTGGGGTCATTTTTTGAAGTCTGCCTAACATGGTGCTTGCAGGCCGTAGACAATAAAGGCTTAAGGTAGAATACGCGCCCTGAAGCGCAAGAAACTGCCTCAGCAAGAACACTCAACCCCAAGCCCTACCTCTGACACCAGCAGCTTTGCTTCGCCGCGCTGGAGGCTTAAAAACCCCCAGCCTAAGCCCTAAATAGTAAACCCGAAATGCCCTAAATAGTTTCAGGAAAGGACATGCGCCTGCTCCACCGTGATGCGCAAGGTGTCAGCAAGCTCCGCCACGAGGATGTCCACCTGATGTATCGGAATGTTACGGTGCAGGCGATAGGAACCTATTGACGTGATAGCTAGCCCCAAGCACTAAAGCCCAAAACCTAAAGTCCCATGCCGATCAAAAAAGTACTCCGAAACATGAAGCCTAAACCCTGAATGCCAAACCGATCAACCACCAATTCGAAACGAAGAAAAAGCTTGCTCAAAGCTTGCTCCTCCCTCCGTAACTTTAAGGGTCGGACTGCGGTTGCCGCAGGCTGGCCGGTCGTAAGGAGGGCATAGAGTCGCTGCTCCTGACAGGGATAGGAACGCCAACGCGGCTACGGTCTACGGTTTAGGGCTGCGGTTTGCAGCTTAGAACTTCGATCAAAAACTCGTCACATCAGAACGGAATGCTCAACTCGGACAGACCCGCCTCGAAACCCCGACTCCCGAAAGGCTACAACTATTCCTAAGGCTCGGGCAGCAGCGCTGACCCAGTCTGGACGAGCAATAGCAGAAAGCTGGAGGGCAGGCATGGCTTCAGCCTGCAAGCACACCGTGTTCTGAGTTCCCCGCGGATTTACGCAGACAAGCACAACAATGCACCTAAACATGTACCCTAAACCCTAAATCCTACATGCCTGCTGCAGCCTCTCAATTGACAATGTGCAAGACACGGCCACCGGGTGGGCCTCAAGTTCTTGAGCCGATTCCACCGATGTCTCTGCGATTGCCCGTCTACGTCGGACTAGAAGTCTGAGGTTCTTGAAATTCGTAGCCGTTGCCAGAGCTGATGCATGAATCATGGAGTCAGCCTTGGAGCCAAGCAAGGTCCAAAAGCGAGGCAGGCTGCTTTTTTGCAGGTCCATGGCCAGGCGTGAAGTGCCTTGGCCTTGCTCCCCCGAAACATGGCACTTGGGACTCCTTCTTTTTAGACTCGAAGCGATGCCGTTTGTCACGGACGTCTTAGCGCCATAGCCGCTCAGAACGTGTGAGTCCAACTTTGAAGTGGCCCAGAAAATACGATGCCAAAACTCTTCAAACGCCGTTGAAAACAGCAAGAGATTGAAACCGCCGCGGGTGGTCCTTGGTTGCCTCTTGAAGTTGCTTTCTGCGCCTATTTCACATGTATCGTTGCGTCTGTCAAGTTCAAGACCCGGGCTCCGTTTGAGGCAGAGCTAGTCTAGAAATCTGGTAAAGAGCCCGCTAGTTCCAGATATCCATAACGTTAAATAGGATCCATACGCTAGTCGCTCGGATTCAGCGGCAAAGTCCATTCAGTACAAAACCGCGTCTACGGTCTGCGGGCCGAGTGCATAACAAAAACTCGACGGCAGAGAAGGACCACTCGAGGAGAAGTGTGGCAGTGAGGCTCCGTGTACCAGCTGACGGGTTGCGGCTTAGGGTGCCGGACTTTTGAGGTTTGCAGCAGGAAGACCCTGTATCCCATCCATGTCCAACCACAAGGAGTGCTTCGAAGGTGGAACCCGCACGGCTGCCGGCGTTGGTTTGGGCGGCTTAGGGTTCAAATCTTTAGGGCTTAACAGGTTAAAACTTGGGATTGAATGTGTGGCTCCAGGCTTTTGTGGTTTATGGTTCAAGTTCAGGGTGTGGCTTTTTTAAGGTTTAGTGATCAGGATTAGGAGTTTCAACAAGCATTCAATCAATGTTCTGGGAATTGAAACCTTTGTTGGAGTATAGAATGTTGGAAGTTTCGAATTTGCCGAGCTTATTCGACATTTGGTGCTATTGTTTCTGCCGTGCTTGTTTGCTTTCAGCCCATGCTCGCTTGTGTAGTGTGTCCAGCCGCAGTTCGTCAATCTCAGTGAACGTTTAATGTTTGGGGGGTGTTCCAAGGCCAGGGATTATTGCAGCACTTTGCACTTTGGCTGGGATAACATTTTGTGATTATCAGAGTCAACTTTTCCCCCCGGGGTCCTGAACGACCATCGCAACTTGCCCGCCCGCCCCTTAGAATCTGCCCGGGTTTCGCAGAACCCTCCCCTCCATTGACCGTCATTGTCACTGTCACTAACCATTACCATTACCACTACTATTGTTAGTACTAGTACTATTACTAGCACTATCATTTGAATCATTATCACTATCACCACTATTACCATTACTATGACTATGACTATTACTACTAGTATGACCATTACTCTTACTCTTATGATTACGAGTACTAGTACTGCTGCTGCTACTACTACATATTTAGGACTTAGGTAGTATGACTAATAAATATTATACTAATAAATATTATACTAATAAATTTTACATGGTTTATGGTTTTGGGTTAAGGGTACAGGGTTGAGGATGTTGCAGGTTTTCGAGTACACTGGGCAGGCCAGGATATTTGGGGTTTAGCTTAGGAAAGTTAAGAGGCCCGTTGGAAGGATTTTTGTTAGTTTGGAAAGGGTTTTAATGGTTTTATAGGGCGTATTTAGGACTTTAGGATTGAAGTTTAGGGTTCAGAGCAGGCTGGATAAAAACAGGGTTTATGGGGAGTAGAGGTTTGTTATTCAGGTTCTAGGGTTTAGGGTTTCGAGATGTTTGGGCTTTGTTTTCCCTAACCCTCCGTTCCCTGAACCCGTACGAGTGCTCGAGTCGAAACCCGTAAATATACACGTCATTGATGTTTCTGCTTGAATCAATCAGTCTTGCATGCTTGAACACGTCTTGCTTGTTTGCCCAGCTCTGCCGTTGGCCAAGGCTGCTTGTTGGTCGTGATGGCCAGCTGCACCGGCAATCGTTGTTGTGAGTGCGTGAGTGCACTCTCATCTCCCAATTACTGATCTGACAATCCTGTGTGTGTTGGCTGACATGTTTAGGCTGCTTCGTCACTAGCAAGGTGCATTGATACAAGTGAGGTCGAGTCTCACACATTGCTAGAGCATCCCAGGTGTTTTTCCCGGCCCGCCTGAAACATGCCAGAGCGTGGTGGTCACTGTCATCGCTTATATCGATCTACCAAGCAGCTGCCTTTTGGAGCCTGATGCTCATGAGTCTTCTCACACTCTCTGAACCACCGTTTCTTATGCCAACCAGAACATTGCCCAGAACCCCATCTAAGAACCCACCACTCTACCAAGAGGTCTGTGGATCCCCGGGCATGTTCTCCTCAGTAGTCCGTGGGGGGCGGGTTGCCTGGCGGCGGGTTAAAGTTGACTCCAAGATTAGGGTCCGCAATAATTAGTGGTAAAGCCCCTACCCTGGTTGTAACTTTAGTCTTGCTAAATTGCAGTATATATAACATTTTCAGAATGAACACCACTTTTGGGCTTCAGTACGCTTCAAAGAACAGCCCAAAACCTATAGCCTACCTTGAATTAGAAAAGCAGCGTTGCAGACCCAGCATCGGTTAAGTCAAGCCGACATTACCATGAAAAACAACGCGGAAGCAGACTGAAACAGCGAACCTCCCATAGCGATGGACGGCAACGATATCGCAGCACCCACTGCAGGAGGTCCAGCAAAGTACGGTGAAACCCATGTTTTTCAGGGGTACTTCTGGGCTGTCATCACAAGCTCGTGGTATTCTTTGAGCTTCGTTGTGTGGCGCCGGGCCACTCAGTTGAGCTTCAGGTACGGCGCCTTGTTCAGAAGTTTCCCCGGCCAGGGCCGCAGGACCGCAGGCTGCAAATCATCTGTTGCACGAACTCATGAATCTGCTAACCTGATGAACTTAACTATCCGGGCCATCTCGTGCAGGCCCGGGCCGTGCCAGCTGACCCGTAGAACCACGGGTCGGAACGCCAGCGCAAGGCTTGCTCAAGGAAGTGCTCCGGAGCGGCACGCCTCCTTGTGCCCATGTAGGCAGCCGGGTCGCCTTAGGGGCCTCCGTACCTCCAGAACGGAATGTTCCCTGGCGACCGCGCAGCGCCTTGTTTCGTCGCAGTTCTGCTGGTTCCACCAGCCCGATGACGGTGCATGCGCTGGACCATACGTCCTCCGCTAACACCTCCGGCGCCATGTGCTGGGCGGTCCCTGCCAACTTGGTTTGCTCATCCTCGATGTGGCAGCACCAACCCCAGTCGACAACCCTCAACTCGCCTGTCGCCGTGAGCATTAGACGGCTTGATGTTTCGAAGGATCAAGCCTAGTTCGTGGACGAAAGCCATTGCTTGCAGGAGCTGCGAATCCAGCTTTTGCAAAGCCGCACATGTCGCCTGGGGGCGCAAGACACATGGCTCATCCTGGGATGCGAGAATCTTCAGTGTGTCCACTCCTGGCGGCTTTTGTTCTTGCATGCCAGGTCTTTTGTGTTTTGCGCCTAGGATAGCTCCAGCACAAGATTGTACAGAATTGTACAGGAGCTATCTCTGCATCTATAACAGGGAACCTTTTGAAGTCTAACTGCCAACCAGAAAAGCGAGGTTGAGCTCGGTTTCGCAATCTAGTCTAGGAAGACACTGACAGGGTCTCGAAGGTCTTGCGCGACTGCCGCGGGGTCCGTTTGCGTACACGTTGTGAGGCATGACCGGTCGTTCCGGTCGGGCCTCAAACCTGAACCTACCGGCATCCCTATACTCGGACCCCGCCTAATTCTGAAGTAGAATAAGGTTTAGGGCATACTGTTCTGTAAGGAAACCATTAGTGAGTTACCAAGCTACATGAAGTCAGCGTTCGGGTACTCGGAGCATCGGACATTTGGTATCCAGCCGACGGCTCTGATCCGAAGCTGCGCACGCCACAGGCACAAACAATTAACAACTCTAATAAGCTTTGCGGGGATCTCCCAGCATGTTCGACGGACCCACGCTGACCCAGAGACGCACAGGCCTGGTTGAATCTACATCGACAAAACAAGGTCGGTGGTAAGTTGTACATACTTGCTGTAGCTGCTAAAGCACCAATCTGCATCAATCTCCTCCGAACGGGGCATGCACATCTCCAGCATGAGAACTTTTGAAAGATTCGGGTTCCTGTGAGTGTTATCCTACAGACGGGATTATCATCCCACACCTCTATGACCAGAACTATGGAATCCCCGAAGCAGCAACGCCAACTCGGGAAATGCCAACACCTCGTCACCGAGAACCCTACATCCAAACCCCTGGGCCGTAATCCAACAAGTGCTTAACTGTGCAACCATGGCCAAAGACTCTAAGCTCAAGCTTTGGCAACACAAACGGCGTAGGGTCTTCTGCAAATTTAGGGTTTACAATTTACATGCACACAGCTGCCAGTCATTTCATCGCCCTGCCGCGTGCTGTATGCAAACTTTTAGACTCAGGTCCGATGGTGTTGCGAACCCTCAACTTGTAGCTGATCGCCTGCGTGCCCTACGTACTCGAACGGATGGTGATCCTCGCTGCCGTTGGAATAGAAATCCAAAGATTTCTCCCCAGGCCTGGATTCAAAAAAAGGCCTGACAGAGGGCAATTGTGCCGTAAAGACCCCACAGAATCTGCAGATGTGGACTTCTCGGACGAAAGCTTTAGCCTAAGGTTGAAGCTGTAACTTCCAGTTTCAGAATTCTGCGGAGTGTTTAAGACGGGAACGAGGAAAGCTGCAGGAAAGCTGACCAAAGTCACCCCTGCTGTGTCTTTCGGGACACAGCCCTGGCTCCAAGTGAAACGTCCGGGGAAAGGACGCGTTCTGGACCCAAATTAATCCGGGGTCTTAGAGATATGTCGCACTCTATCTTTCTGTATATATATATACACATACACAGAAACCTACACTTATACATAATGTGTATACATATACTTACCGACTAAGCTTTGTTGCTCTGGCCTCCCTTAAAATAGATGACATGTCTCTACATTGCGTGTACTCGCCATCAACACGTGGTGATGGCAAACCGAATGTATCTGTACTGTCGCTGAACAAAAATACCTCACTGTCAAATACCGCCAAGTGCAACTCTCTCTCTCTCTCTCTGTGTCTCTCTCTTGCTCTCCCTCCCTCCCTCCCTCTTCATATTATACATGGCCATGAGGTGTGAATGCTGCACATTTGAGAGGCGTCCGCAGCTGCATATCGTTTTATGTCCTCACAGGTTGTTTTGTGCACTCACATCTATGTATACTACCGCCTTACGACACCCCCCCCTCCGATGGCACAGTGAAGCTCATTCTGAAAAGGCATGGCCGTAACTTGTTATCTTTGTTAGATACCATAAACGGCCGAAAAGTTATGCGGTACAACCCCGTGAAGGCCCCTAGCCTACCCCTCAGACTCCGGAGTCCTGCCAATGCCAAAGTACTGTATCGTTGCTCCTCCAGAGCAACCAGACTGGCGCCTCAGTCCAAGAAACATGCGGAGGCGCGGAAGCTTGACTGGTCGTAGATGATCCATACAACTGCAAATGCCATTGCCGATGTGTGTATTTGTCTGCCCACGGTTAGCAGCACCGTTGTATCTATCCTTGATGTGGTGCCTCGCCCTGTCACTCCTGGAGAACCCACAAGCAGCCCCAGTACGGCTACCTGAACCGAAACCTTTGCTTCCTAGAATCCGTACATGGAGCGCACTCCTTTGAGGAAGACTCTGGAGATCAAACGGGGCCCAAGCTGGGGACCCTCGATGTTACTGCCAGGAACTGCGCTCTACTCAGCAACCACTAGGGCTGCCGCGAACACCCCTGGAAAGTGTAGATCCCCTTCAACAGAGAGAGGGCTGACAACTTGACTCCTTCGCAGAAACAGCTATGACGGGGAGCAGCTTGGGATTTCCGGGCAAACCACCTTAGCCTGAATCCGAAGCTCGTGGACCTAATCGCAGTCTCTTAGAACTGAGGAGCCTGGGGCCCTGAAACCGAGTCGCATTCCAGATTTGGGGTAGAAGAGCAGAGCGTGCAGAAAGTGAAAGTGAAGAAGAGCGTACACAGGGCTTCAGAGTAAACCGACACGGCTTTGGGGATCCAAGTGGGGCTCAGAGCTACTCCAATGCCCTGTAGCTCAGAGTGGGCTAAGTGAGCGGCAGCGTCAAGAGGAAGGAGGAGAAGCAGAAAAGGACGGAAGCCACGAGGTTCGCCTGCAGTGTAGAAGAGCAGACATGAACGTCCCCACAGTCCTCGCACTGACCCCAGCCAGTATAAGCTGAAGTGTGACAACGAAGAGATGACAAGTGCTATGAGGAGGACGACGGCAGCGACTGCGTTTACGATACGAACACGGCTTCCCGTCAGTCCAAACATCAATTGGTTGTTTAGCTCTTTGCCGAAGCCCAGCTGAGTCCTGAAAGTATCCGTGCTCTTTCTCTCTCAGGGCTAAACACCACGACGTTTGTTGCTAAGGCAACTATTGAAATCACGGGCAGGCAAAACTGTTAACTCAAGTATAGGACGAGACTGCAAGACTACGGTATCTTGAGGCGCACTGCGAAGGGACCGGGGCAAGGAGAAAGGCTTGAGACGTACCGTCACGATCATAAAACGGAGCCTGCACTCGCACAACCGCGCTCACAAGTAGCCGTCTCGAGACACTCCTGGCCTGGCACTCGTCATGGTTCCAAGAAAGCCGGCTCCTAAACGCCCCTGCTTCTGCCTAAGCCCTCGAACCCCCGCCCCCCCAAGTCTCTGACCTGTTCCTTGGTGCAGCATCCTCAGACCTGGACCTTCCTCAAGGATTCCAATATCACCCCCCAGACTCACAGCGTTTCCAACTTCGAAGCCCAGCTTCCCTGTAGGCCATGGATGCGACTCTGGCACCGCCTGCTTTGGCATGAGCTTTGCTGCTAGTCTCCCCTTAAGAAGGCCCAACGTGTACCCTGCCTAGTAGAGCCCCATGTTACTCACCAAACCTCCTACAAACACTACTTCGCGTGTCATTCGAGTTTCGGCTTGGGGCTCTAGGTGTGCAGAACAACAGGGTTGCAGAGACGCAGAAGAGCATGAGGTTGTTGTTCGGAAAGGTGTCTGAAGTTCCGTAGTTCTCGCTGTCGGGAATATGATCTCAAAAGGTGCGCTAGGGAGGGTCAAACAAAGAGACATAGGTGTGCTGTTACAGGGTGCCAGGCTGGAAGGATGCATGCGTGTAGTTCCCTAAACTGCGGCTTTCTTATCACTTTAGCAGCCTCTAGCAGCTAGCAAGCCTTAAGGAACCCACATTCAGGGAACGAAGCATTGAGCCTGAGGAGGATTGTCGAGATTCAGCGGCTCCAATGTGCTAATGGAAGTTGAGGATTTACTCAATGCAGAATGTGCATACGTGTCTTCGCAGGCAGGTTCGGATGACCAAACAGCAACACTCTCTGTCACTACGTAGAGCCGCTGGATTGAAGCATGCAAGGATATCCCAGGCCCCAGCGACCCCGAAGCTCTCAGGCGGCTTGGGAAGTCTTGGGATCATGTCAAGCCTTGCGCGTGTCCGTGTGGGTCCTACCCGGATTAGTCCTTCTGAACCCCGATCTGCCGAAAGGTGCCACGTCTCAACATTGAACATGGCAGCTCTCGGGAGAGATTGCCTGCTTGCACTGGCTGCAGGCCTTTGGCCCAAACTCAAACTCAAGCCACGAGCCATAACCATAGGATCTGACAAGCCACCGAAGATCGCCAACACGAAGATCACGAAGAGCCCCAAGGATTGCAGCAGGCTCTGCAAGTTGCCCTTCAACGGGCGCGCGAAGTGTTCACACAGGAACGCTCCTCAGCTCAGGTGGTGGTCTTCCAAAGTGAAGGCGCTGGTTTTCAAGACACTTATGGTAACAGGAGCTTGCCGTAAGAACCTCTGAAAGACCAAATGCTCAGACGACTACGCATTGTTCGTGTCTCTTACACTCAAGATGCCGGTGGGGGCATCGATGCTGCCAAGTAGGACGATGGTAATGCTGTGCGCTTTTCTTCTTACAGTCTACTTGACATCTTGACTTTGCCCGGCACTGTTTTGTCATGAGCCGTGGACTATATAGGCTGTTTTGTCTTGACTGAAAGTAAGCTACCTCCAGGGCGAAACAATCATCCAGGGGGGTTTAGGAACTCATTGCGGAATGTTTGGTTTCAGGCTCCGGAGGATGAAACCCTTCGCCCAGGCATCCAAGCCAGCGGCATTGCTATGGTCCAGTTGGACCATGCCCGTTCACCCGAGCATCCATGTCAACAGCCCTATTAACGTCCAGCGTGGCCACGAATGCTCTCTTAACATCCGGATGCTTCCGACAAGCATCCGCTCAGAAGTCATGACCTGAACTCCGAAATGCTTCTAGGGCTGCCGGAAAAGTGCCTTTCGCTCCAATTTCCGGCCAAAGTGCCGAATCTCAACATGGCCATGGCGTAGAAGGTGAAGAGCCCCAGCACCATACCGAACCTCAAGCTCAAAATCCTTCAGATGTTGCGGGTTGAAGTGCCGAGAGAGTGTGCGACTGGTTGTAGGCAGTGTGGCGCTTCGGCGAATAGTTAGCTTGCCGGGATCCAGGTGAAGACCGTGTTTCCAAGATGTGGATGATGTTGGTTACCGTCGTTTGAGCTTGAGCTTCGACGGCTTCTTGTCCGTTCGCAGAGGCTGGTGCCCTTGAAGCCTAAGCCGTCAACACTTTGTTTATGCGCAGTGAACACTTGAGAAGGTGGCCAGACAGTGCAATCCCTTTCATTCGGGAATATCCCGGATTATGTAGCGCTTCTAACCATGGTCGAAGGAACACATCCTGTTCCTTATTTCCAGCATATTGGGCTGGGCTCTGTGAGTACCCCATCCTTGGCCAGCAACATTGTAGGGTTGTCTTGAAGCCTAGACCCTGGCACTTCGTGAACCAGGGGTCCATTCAATGAGATGCCTCTTTGGGCCCACCACTATCGGCACCCAAATCATTGCAAGAAGGTCCTGTGGGTGCATTGTGCATCATAAAGTGTTCATGCCAAGAAGATATGTTTGTCCATTTAGTCCTTCGGCTGAGAGGCCTCGCGTATGTTGGGGCTAGAAAAGAGCTTGTTCCTGAATACTTTTGAAACAGAGTTTGGGGATATCTCATGGTACATGTCTGTATTCGGGGACTATAATTGGCAGAATATCAAAACCTATTGTGCCGACCCCCATGCCACCCACGAATGCCAAGCCGGGGATCCCATAGCAAAGTATCGCGCGGGGAGGTGCGCCTCCCTCGCAGGCAGGAGGAACTTCTGAGGGTTCGTTGGTTCTTACGGAATAGCGAATTGGAGGGTTTGGCCGAAAGCGTCGAAGGGCTTTGGAACTTTGGAATGATTGGTGGCTGTGGCTTGGGCTTGAAGTGTAACAGAGCCTACAGTCCAAGCAAAACTGCGACTGATCTGAGTGCTGCAGCCAGTGTCGACGAATCTGAACGCTTCTGATGAGATCTGTCAGATCAGGTCCACAAAGAGTTTTCTGGCGGCCTGCATCTGCCCTGAGCTTCCCTGGCCTGGCCTTGCAGAGAGCCACCAGCACATCTATGCCCAGGCTCACCAAGGGCGTGACGACAATCAGTGTGTACCTGAGACCAAGGACCTAACACAAACGCCAGGTTGTGTTACATTTCAAAAACCAAACTTCTTGGGAAGGCCTGCTTCATCTGTTGCTTGTTTCACGCAGCGTTTCAGCCTTTTGCCCAAGGAGCTTGATTGGCAACGCGGTGCCACAGGTCGCCACCAGCTCCCTGCGCAGCGGGCCACGAACGTACTCCGTGAAGGCCTGCTGTCCACAGTGTTGACACTGATAGGAGATGGTAAAGCAAAAGTAGAACGATCGTCGCAGTAGCAGTGGCAGCGGCAGTAGGAGTGGGAGTGGGGGGGAGTAGCAGTAGCAGCGGCAGTGGCAGTGTCTCAGTGTTTCAGTGGCAGTGGCAGTGCCAGCTGCCAGCAGTGGTGGCTTGGGTGGTAGTAGTGATGGTGGTGGAAGTAACAGTCGTAGAAGTAATAGTAGTAGTAGTCGTCGTCGTCGTCATCGTAATAGTAATTAGTACTCGTCGTAGTAGTAATTAGTAGTCGTCGTAGTGGTAGTGGTAGTGGTAGTGGTAGTGGTAGTCGTAATAGTCGTAGTAGTCGTAGTATTATTATAGTAGGAGTAAAAACCACGACACCCGTAGTGGCACAGCAATGCTAGCGGGAAAGACAGTTATGCTCCAGGATCCTTTGTATTTACGGTCATCGCTCGATCACCCAGGGGCGAAATCCTTGCTGTACTTGCAGCTTCAGCACAAGGAACTCGCAGCTGATACCCGCCTTCCTTCATGAAGCCATAAAGGGCTCTAGAAACCCGCGCTCACCTCCAGGCTGCCATACCACTCCACGATGGCGCTGTGGATGAACTCCTCCATGGGCGTGCCATGATCGAGAGGCAACTTTCTCCCCTAAGAGTGAGGGGGATTCGGCTTCAGGTCTGGGTTTCAGTGAAGGGAAAACCGATTGAACTGCAGTGTTGGCTCAAAGCACCCGGGGCCCGCAGCACGCGACCAGAGCAGGAGAACCTGACATGGAAGTTGTTGTTCTGGCCCACACCACGAGCCGAAACCTCCATGAACTCCGGAAACCCAAACCGAGAGCATCCGGTTCCAAACCCGGACTTGCCCCTGGACCTCAAACCTCAATCCATCGTGAATTTCTGAATTGGGAACGCCGAATAACCCCAGATCTGGACACTGGCTGGCATGTCCTTGTCGTAGTCATTCCGGCACTGGACGGTCCCAAGGTCAAAGAACTCCTCGGCAAGGTTCGTCATTAGAGGTTATAAAGTGTCGGATTGAGGCGAGTTTGGGAAGTTCATGGGTTGGCACAGCATCTGCTAACTTTACCAGGGTTCAAGCATCTGGGCTTCTGGGCGCATGGCTAGATACTTCGCGATCTTGAACATTGCCCACCCAGGGGCATGCAAACTGCACGTGCACGACATGAATCTGAAAGGTTTGGCAAGATGCTCGACAAGTACAGATATCCAGAGCGGAAGCCATGGCAAAACTGCCATGGGGTACTCGACGCTCTCAGCACTCGAGGCGAATGCGCATATATCCAATTTGATACAGCAACAGACCTTGAAAGACATACCCTTGGGTACAGATGAAGGGACGAACGAACGAATACGACCGACACCCAAGCCAAGAGAACGAACATTTCTGACTCTACAGGTGCAGGACGGTAAACTCCTCAAGGGTTCCACTCCACTCTACGGTCGCCTTAAACTCTACACCCCGATTGCCGGCAACCGGTATGCCATCTCGGAGAACAGCCGTCGCTTCAATGCCAGGCTCTTACCTCGGGTGGATCGAGAAAACACTCATCTTGCGGTGTTGATGAGTCGGGGTCAAAGCCCCAGTCAGGTTCGGGGATCTTGTAGCCAGATGTCTACCGTGAAAACGTGCTCGGGGTCCCTTGGATTGTAGGATTTCACATATCTACCCAACGAAACATCTCCTGTTAAAGCCGAGCCAGTCAAATGGCAGCTCGTCGAAACACCAGATCAATGCTCTCCAAAGGAAATTCACCACCATGGCACCCCTACCCCTTGGCGTTGACGAGCGACAGCACATCCGCTGATAATGATGCTGCAAACAAACTGATGATTTTTCACTCACTTCAGAACTCAATCTGCCACGAAGGAGCATCTGCGTGTTGAGAACAACAGCCCCGTGCACGAGTTTCTGGTCTCACCAGAAGAGATGATGAGGGATGATGGTGATGCAGTGATGATGACTGCCGTGGTTCGTGGTGATGACATACCTAACGATGATGGGGCTGGTGACGTCGATGCTTCTCATTGCCGTTATCCATGACAATAACAGTGCGACTTTATTTGGACGGGTGCTGTTACAATCATCATGGCGTTCGTTGGCATCGTCGCTATTCGTCCACCATAACATCACGGCGGCGAACCTCACCACCGCCTCAACCACCACCACCACCATCACACCACCTCCTCCTCCCCCTCCACTGCCACCACTATCACCATCCCAACGATGACGCCGCCGACGACGACGACGATTACTGTTACTGTGATTATGTTGGCAACGAGACGGACGATTCTTGATGGTGATTCCTGGGTCTATTGTCTGTTGCCGCACCCCGCATCGCACATCAATCTAGCAGCTGCTGGAAAACGCAGCCGCTACTATATGCTTTGTTTGTTGTCACTGTCATGCAAGTCTGCTGTCACTATATTGCCAATCGTACCATGACTGCACTTATGCTGTTGCCTCTTCGCCGCGCGTGGTGTTGCTTGGGCTGCTGCCGCAAGGATGGATCGTGGCTGCCCTCTCACTTAGAAGAACTTCTGCTGTTCCCTTCCATGGTTAAACCGACTCTGGCACCTTTGAACATTGGGCTCAGGGCCCGCAAAGTTCACGTCCAGCCTGCATTCCCTTTTCTGTACAGGTGCACATTTCTTGTAGGGTCTAATGGTCGAATCTTGCAGCACATCCCTTGATGTGCAGAACACTCAAGCCATGCACGACCAGACGAAAGGTTTCGATCTATCCCAACATTGAGGTCAAGCCCAACAGCTGTGATCTCGACTATACAGACTCATCCGTGTCACTGTCCGCTGCCGGAACGATCTCCAGAGAGATGTGGGCGAGGCTGACGCAGCGCTGCTGGCCACAAGACATCTTGAAGGGCCGGCTCCTCGGCAGTTTCATAAGCTCGGCAAAGGAGTTGTCCGTGGCATAGATGAAGGCCAAGACTCCTTTGTTTTGGGAAAGCTTGTGAAACCGGAAACCTGTGACAAAAAAAGGGCTTGATGGGGTCTTGCCTTGCAGGACAGTCGCGGTTTGCAAATCTGACGGACTCTCGGTCTTCACCCGGCTTCCTCACCATGCCAAATGGCACACTCATCCGACCGAATCATGTCGACATTCTTGTCTGTATTCTTGGCAAATTGTTCAAGCACCGCTCGCAGGCGATCTCCAAACATCTCCTGAGCTCGTGGATGTACAGACTCCAACCATTCCTCCACGACCTGCGCAAGCTCCTCCTCTGAGCGCGGAAACTGATGCGAGCCCGAGCCGCTCCTTCGCCTCTCCGGCTCCCCGGGCTCCGGCGGCGCGGGAGCACCGCCGAAACCACCGCTAAAGCTGGTAATGCTGCTCCTCCTGCTACTGCCGCCGCCGCTGCTGCTGTCCATGATCAGACTGCTATCGCTCCCGCTCCTGTCACGGCTCCGGCCACTGCCACCGCCAAAGCGAATTTTGTCTATCAGCGACTTGGCTCGGAGAGCACCCATGAAGCAAACCAAAGCGGTGCCAGCAAGGCAGGCAAAGGCCGCAATTTTCGCAGTGGTGCGCCATCTGCCTGGTCGGTGCTCTGGCACAGGCTCTGTCCTGAGTTCTTCGAACTGTCAGGCACTCGACAAGAAGCGTAACACGAACATGAAGGCTCGGCCAATCTGAAGCGGAGGATCATCTTGCTTGCGACCGCAACTGGCTTCTGGCTCTGAGCTCTTGTCTCCAGGCTGCTCTCCAGGCTGCTCTCGCTGGCGTCTGAGCCACGTCGCTGCTCAGAGGCAACGGACGTCATGACTCAAAGCTTTAATCGAAAGTCGGGAAGTGTCATGGCATCATGGCTGAGCCGAAAGCAGCCGAGGCCGACAGTCGATTCTTTGATGCGGAAGTCCGAACCCCAGAGGAGAGGCACTTTGACACCGACACGCGGACGAGTTGCAGAAGATGTGGAAGATCACTGCGACCGGTATCACGGCTGGAAGGAATGCGAGGATGCCCCGACCTGTTCAGGCTTTGGCATCTTCAGTAACTTCAATAGCGACTCTACGTTCGCTGTCAAGACGGCCAGTATCCATAGCTGAGCATCTGCGCGAGAAATGGAGATCCAAGTGGCTTTAGGCAGTAAATTCAGAGTTCAGTGGTTCAGTAGCCTATTGAGCCTATTGCAGCGTTTGGGATTCCGTCAATGCATCTCTATCGAAACCCACCCGGCAACCAGCCCTTTGGGAACTTTGGCTGGGCCTGGGGAGATGTGTATTTAAAGGCACACTCTCATGAGCAATTTACCTCAAACCCTGAAAGTGGGTTTACAATCAGCTTTGCCTCTTGCCGACAAGGAGGGAACCAGAGGCAACATCAGCATGTAACCTGAGCTTTCGCACCAGTGTCAAGTTCATGATAAATGGAAGCCCGGGCAGAGGATGCGCGAGCAAACACCTTGAAAAACCGGAGGCCCTGAACCTCTGAAGGCGCTCTACTCGAAGTCACTGTTCATATCCTTCTCGTGATTTGAAAGAAGATGCCGCACTTTGGGGATTTGTGAACTATATTTTCTCGTTTCTTCAGCGAGCAAGTACTATTTCTTGCCCCAACAAAACCAGCATCTACCTACGCCCAACAATGGCGCAAGAGAGCATGCCAACTCGTAACCCTACTCCCACCAACCCTGCATCCCTGTCCTGATAATGCAAGTAGCAGCCCACCCAGGTTGCAGCAACCAGCGCTTCGACATGTAGGGGCGCCATATTGATTCTCCCCGTGGGGTTGGCCGTTCCTTTTTCCAAGCTTTCGGCTTGGGGTTCGGGCTGTGGTGCTGTGGGGTCAGGTCAGATTTAGGTGATCGGGCTTTTCTGTTGCCTGGGCTCAAGGTGACAGTGGTGCAATGCTGGAACTTACGGTTTTGGAAGCTGCCCGGAGATTGCTGAAGTCCTTAAGATCTGAGAAAACCAACTAGAAGCACCAAAATCCAGCTAACATGTTCTTGCCGCGCACGGGGATCCCGATCCCAGACAGAATAAACTGTTAGCCAGCCATCTCGAGAAATGTTGAAACAAAAGCCTCTGTGAAGCACATGTCCGAGGTTCGAAAGGCTGCCAATTCGAAGACGCACCAAAGCCTGCACTCCAGTCGCAGTGCCAGTCGCAATAACAGTAGCAGTAGATACAGTAGAATGTAGCAGGTAGCACTAGCAGCAGCAGCAGCAGCGGCAGCAGCAGTGTAGCAGGAGCAGTAGCAGTGGCATTGGCGGCGGCGGTGGTGGTGAACCTCCACGGATACCTCACATAGAAAACCAGGATTTAGAACAGCCCTAAACCCTTAACCCTGCACCTCCAAAGGGTGAAATAATTGGCTATGGGATATGTTACGATACAGTAGTATGTTATATGACGGAATCCTGAGGAACAGTACTTGTAACCTGGTGAAAATGCAGGGTTCTGGAGTAAGCCGCTCATGATGCCTCGAGAGGTAGGGTTGGCTCCAGAGGATCCTCAGCCTCGGTTGTCGTTGGGCCGTTGCGATACGGGCTCAAATGAGGTGTGGGGGTTATCGGACTCTTCCATTTGAGGTCGAAGGTGCAGGACTTTAGCTTTGAGAACAGGAGGTTTAAGCTCAGGCGTTGGACCGTGGGAGCGTGATCTTGTTGCTGGACTAGGCTTCAAAAAACAAGTTCTTCTAGTGGCACTCCCGTACGAAGAAGAAGAAACCAAGAGCAAACAGTAACGAAAACACATCGCTCACAACAATCAGACTTTAAGTGCCTGGTTGTGCAGCTTGTTGTGCTTGTGCAGATTGGGATTGCTGGAACCACTTCGCGGAAATGACACGTTGAATTTCATTACGACTGCGACAATAATTGAGAGCTTGTGCAAGCACTAGTGTCTCTTCGCGCTGGAGGTTTCTGTTGTTGGCGGCTTGGTGAAGGTGCTCAAAGAAGAGGTGCCGAAAAAGCCATGGTAGCGTGGCATGGCTGGGTTCTTAGTTAGCAGGTGGATACTTTTTTCGGTTCATTTGTTACACAATTTGGTCGTTGCGGGCAGTAGACACTGTCACAAGGGACTGGGCCTGTTTTGGCTGTCATGTTGTCTGCCACGTGCCCAACACGTGGGTCACGCGGCAAGACATACACAAGGTCGCAAGCGGAGGGCCATCTGTCAGTCATCAAAATGATGCTACTACCTCCACTATCTGCAGTTGCTTCCACTCACAAATTCTCCCACAGTGGGCCACGACTGCGGCGGATCGGAATGTCAAGACTCCAGACCCTGCAGTCGTACTCCGAATCCTATCCTGAAAGAACCGTTGAAGACCCGAGCCTAACCTCGCGACCCTGCCGCTGAAGACAAGATGCTCTTTCGATGCGCTCAGAAAGCCTCCCAGCACGCAACACTGTCCGATCATTGGGATGAAACGGAATTGTCTTGGCTTGGCTAGCATGTCTGAAGCCCTCATTGTGCTGGAAGTTTCACAAAGCGTGCCACAAGCCAACGCCAAGACTGATTTGCACGATCCAGCTTTTCTGTTTCACCAGCACTGCCCTGTGACACCATGGTCGGTGCTGATCTACAGGTACGAAAGGCATGTAAGGCACAGAGCATGTTCAGTGTCCTTTTGCGTGCGTCTCCGGGCATGAAACGTGAATATGAGATACCCTAGCCCTAGCTGCTCACGCAGATACGAGAGATGTAGCATCGTGTTCGCCGTTCGGCAGCCTGCCTTTGAGTTGACGAAACAGACAACCGATGTAAACAATGTGCAAACTGCTTCCGGCCTCCAAGCCCGTAGATCCCCTGCTGCATCATCTCTTCGTCCAGTTGGTTGATGCTCACCACATCCTTGAACTTCAGGGCTCGTGGGTTCAAGTGGCCAGGTGAAAGGTTTAGGATGAAGCTCGGCTTTTTGAGGACCATGCTGATGAAGAAAAAGACAAGCACATGGAATTGGAAAAGTAGGACTTCTGAAGTTGCCCAGATTGAACAGTACACATTGCGTCACTGAGTGCGTGTCATAGATCTAGATATTCTGGGGAGCCCCAGGCGCCACAAGACTAAGAACCCATTGTTCGGATTTCTTGTGGAAAGGGCCTGCAAGAAGCTCCAAAAGCCTTCGGTCATGCACGCCCGGGCCCCACACCGTCAAGCCTACCTCCTAGAAACCGGATACCTTAAGAATTGCAGCCCTCCCTAAAGCCAGGCCCAGTTTCCAGGAAGCAAAGCTGATGCTTGCAAAAGCCGGGGCCATAGGGCGCAAGGACCAGAGCGAACATGGACATCCTTGCAAGGAGGGTGTGAGGGCTTAGGATGGACGTTGCTCCAGATATTCTGTTGTCCATATGTGAAGCCAGCAAGGGGTTCGCTTGCGGTGGCTCTGTGTGCAGACTAGGATTCAGATTTATTGACTCCCACTGCAACCACCTCGGCCCACGTCTTGGCGGTCACTGTCACTTACGAATGCCGGGTTGCGCGGTTGGAACTACCGCACTACTCCAGCTTGGCTACTTGGACGAGTTCGGTGAAGCTGACCGCTACCTTTACTGCTTCAGTACTACTGCTTCTCCTTCTGCTTCTTATGTCAGTACCAGCTGTACCATTCCGGCTTCGGTAGTCCTGCATTGGCGATGGCAATTCTAATTGTGCCATTACGCCGGTATCTAATGCTGCAGTTCCTGATCACGACCGAGAATCGTGACGCCAATGTAGAGGGCCCAGCCACCGAAGGGGCACCGCAGCCTTTCACCGTTGATGGATGTCTCCTGGGTTGCAAGCTTGAAGCTTCGGGTTGAGCGTGAAGACTTTAGGCTTGGCACCAGGAGCCTGTTTTGTGGTTCGAGCCTGCGAAATCGCAGCCAAGTCTCATACACAAAATACATTGGCAAGACACCCAGAAGCGTGAGAGCCTCTACGACGAAGACAACGATGATCCACGTCAGGAGGACGTGTCGCCAGCCAAACCTAGCGGTCATCACACTGTCTTCTGTGTTTGAACATGAGAAGTCACTAAGATACGGGTGGCCTGTCGCACCATGCAGCACCACGATGCTCCCAGAATACCTACCTCTACGTACAAAACACATCCGCCTTCTATTGTGCGCACATTAATTCGTTGAGTGATATCAACTTGCGACGACTTCAAGGTGAAGTGCTACTGCAGCAGTTCATGCCTACTGAGCCTACTGGTGCAACAACATGCATAAAGATACTGGGAGGTGATACCATGAGCAGCATGATGACGCAGTGGTGCTGGGGCAGTTGCAGCTCAAGGGTTAGCTGGCGTGGCAGTAGGTGCAGCTTGACAATCTACCACACCGAGAGGGGGATCCGTTGATCATATGCCGTCTGTCACCACACACGAGGAAGCCTGCAACAGTAGTGCGAAAGAGAGCGATGGCATCTGGAAGGTCCGACCGATGCTTGAGCTACACATATTGGCCCAACCGTTCGTGCGACCTGTGCACGCCCATCACAGCAGCGCTACAAGGAGCTTAGGCCTCCCACCACACATGTACAACGAACTCTCAGAACGGCCTCACCAGCACAACTGCAACCAACCGTCAGATGTACGTCGTCGTAACTGCCTGGGTTCATATACGTTGTCTACGGCAAGAACTGGGCCGTAGGCACCACCACCAAGCACAACAGAAGATGTCAGGAACCTGAACCTAAACCCGAAACCCAGAACCCCTTAACCCTTAAAGCCAAAGGGATTCAGCAAAAGGAAACAATGGAAGAACCCGAAAATACCTGCTTAGCTTGAACACCTGCAGCCACCCCTACTCAAGAATCTCCAGGGTCTCAATTTAGGGTTTAGGGGCTTATCCGGTTTAAGGTTCGGGGTTTGGGGAGCAGAGGGATCTAGGACGTCTTGGGCTTGTGTGTTTGAGAAAGGCAACTTTAGTTTTCACCCTGCGAACAAGGTGCTGCAGGGACAAGGACAGGAACTTCCATCGTCCTGACGTTGCCTGGGGACGGCAGAGGTTGTGGGCGAAGCCACTGGGTGTGGAACATCGTAGCTTCGGAATCCAACTCTGGACAAGTTAAAACCTCGGGCTAGAGGCTTGGAAGGTCAGGCAGGTCAGGTGGTCTGCTGCATGGGGCATTGACTGAGCTGTCAACAAAAACCCACAACTCTTCGTGCCACTTCGAGGGCTCTGAGTGTCTGAACTAATTGCACTTGGTGCTACCAAGGTCATCCAGAGTACACCAAGGTACGGTCGTATTTGGACTACTTTGAGTTGTGGGTGGGAATGAGTCCGTGCAGGAAAATGTGAGTGAGAATGGCTTTTGTCTGCCTATGTCTGCTTATGTCTGCTTCTTGTTCACTCTCAATACTTCCTTGATGCAGAGCTGAAGCGTAGCCAGGCTGCCCACGTGTGGGACAGGAAAATGTCGAATCGCGTCGTTGGCCTTGAACGCTGCCACAATGACGCCTTTCCCTGGGCTGTCGATCTTCGAGTCTGAATCTGAAGGCTTGTTTGTTCGTCAGCGAAAGCAGACTGCCGAACAGTACTGCAGCAGGGAGCAACATTGTCATGCACTCAAAAAGAAGCAGAAATGTCTCGTGGAGGCCCTCCGACACCTCCAGTCTACTTGGAGAGTTTCCTGGACTCCACCCCCCCCGCAACACTGATATCACTGCTGTCAACAGTTGAACATGAGTGTAAGCAAGTCCTCCATTGAGTGTTCTGTGCTGCTGTACGAGGTTCTTTCTGGGGAAGATCAGCTGGGCACCATCGCCACAAGCGCCCTCCACATCGAAGAGTCTCTTTCAGTGGGATCCCTCCTTGGGCGATCAAGCGGCTCCAATGAGCTGTTCCCTGGTTACCTGCCTAGGTTTTAGGGCCGGCTTAGAGGGCCTTGTAGGGTTTAGGGACGAACTTCCACCCGGGCCGGGGCTGCCCACGTCTCCGAAACTGCTCCCCACCCTGCCACTTGAAACGTACTAAGAGGCAACTGGAGGTTCAGATTCGGGTTCGCAGTTTCGTTCTGGGGAGTGGGGTGCAAATGAAGGAGAGAAGTTGAAGTACGAGAAATTTTGAAAGAGGGCGGAAGTCCACGGCTGGGGCGCTGGACTCCCAAAGTCCCGAAAGCTCCCGAAAGCTGAGGCTCGCATGATTGCCGGGTCCACGTTCAGAGCAGATTCACGGCTCCACCGCGGCACGACCTGCATCGAGGCTGTTGGGGCTTGGAGACTTTGGGTTCGAGGCTCGCCCCCCGTTCCAGGCTTATGTGTGCAAGACGCTCCCCTGAAGAAACAGATGATGGACCCATCGAGGCATGGCAAAGGTGCTGAGCCACAACGATTCTGGCAAACTCCTGAACGAAAGCCCTGGTCCGCAAAGCGGGGACAACTACAGCTATCGCTTGGGGTGCGTGTTCTACAAGACATGCTTGCAAGACAGTTCAGGTCACCGCCAAGCTCGACAGGCCATGCGTCTGCGGAGGAAAGCAAGACACGGCCGTTCTGTTCAAGTCCAAGCTCACGTCGGGCATGGAGCTTTGAGACCGTTGTGATGGCAAGAACATGTGGGGATTATTCGTTTGGCCGCCTCATCTACCTGCAGGATATCCTGTGCCAAACTCCAGACACTCCACCTCACGCAACCGAAAGACCCCACCCACCATGAGAGTTGCGCCTCTAGGCTGTGGATGCTCCTGTGGCTGTTGCGACGCTCATAGCCCGAAGCGAGGTTCGCCTTTTGCGACGGGACATCGACTTGGATGACCTGCAACAATGTAGGTTTAGGTTTGGTGGTTCGGGTTCAGAGCTTTGAGGTTTTGGGACTGGGGCTTGGGAGGGTTTAGGGTATGGGATTCAAGACTTTACGAAGCAAGGGCTCGACGTATTATACCTCATGTTTCCGAATTCTGTGTTTGCTAGTTGTCTGGAAGGGCCGAATCACCACTTTCACTGCGAGCAGCTGTTGCTTGCCGGGTCTCCTTTCCTGATTCCAGACACTTGCCGCTGAAGTGGGCTTGATGCCTGGAATCACAACCCCGGAACCCAAACCACACAAACCCATAGCCACAAACTTCAACTCAAGGCCTCTTGATCCTAAACCCGAAATTTCGAAATCAACCCCAAATCCTCAAAACTCTAAGCCTCAAGCCGAAAACCCAAACCCAAACCCATGTAAAGTCTCTGATTTCTTCAATCCCTGATAAAACTTTTCAATCCTGGAACCCCACATCCTGTGTCAAATCCCAAACTCCTAAAGGTCCTACAACCTAGCACCGGACAACCATACACTGCCAAATCCAACAACCTAACAAACTATACCATGTGCTTTTCAACCCCCAAGCGCCCAAGCGCTCTTAGAAAGGTCCCCTTCTTCTTGCTTCTCTCTCGTCTGGCCTGGCAGACCTCGGCCCCAGGTCCTTCTGGAGTCTCCGGACAGCCCTCACAGCTGGCTTGAGCGCCCATGGTGCTGTAGAAGCCCCAAGTAGAAGGCTGACTTGCAGATGGGGGAAGGTTGAGCTTAGGGCTTAGGATCGGGCTTGGGATTAGTGTATCATTGGGATTTGGGATTGAGCGTCTCTTGCAAGGTAGGCAACATGTATTTCTTCTAGACTCTAGAGGTCCTGGAAACAGAAACCGCGTGCCAAAACAGCTCGCACTACTTCAGGGAGGTGCTCGGGATTTTGGGGCTGTGCCATTCATGGCCGAACGGGCTTGACGACATGCCAGCCAAACGGCTGCAAGGTGAGGAATGTCGTCGTCGCGCCATGGTTGTCATCGTGACAATAGTGCGCCGCCATATAGCTGCAGCAGCAGGAGGACGAGGACGACAAGCATCAGAAGTTGTCGCAAGACCAGTAGGGCCACTGCAACAACAGCAGCTTTTCGGTCTTGTTGTGGCTGCCGTCTTAGCTGCTGTTGTTGATGATGCTGTTGTTGTTGCCGCTGCTGCTAGCCCTGTGTGTTACTTGTTGCCGCTCCAGGGTGTGCGCGTGCCTGTGCACGGGTGTGTATGGGTGCATGTGGTTGTTGTTGCTGCTGCTCGGTCGTGGTTGTGCTGGCGATGATGTTGCTTCTTTTCTGCATATGGTTGTGGTGTTGCCACAGTTGCTGCTGCTACAGCAGTCGCTGCCGTGATGTTGATGACGACGGGGACTATGATGAAGCCGGTGGTGACCGGTGGTGTCGGGTTTTCCATTGTTGCCACTGCTACTGATGTGATGACTGTCATTCTTGTCACGGCAGCCATTAGACCGGCAAGAAGAGCTGTCTGCAACATACAAACCAAAATTAGTTAATTAGTATGGATGCCCCGCTGACAGATTGCGACATTGCTTTCATACACACCTCACCAGTTCGTGCAAATAACGACAGCCGATTTCCCGGCACCTGTGTAGACTTGAGTTCGAAGTGAACATAGTGACCCAAACACGATTCCACGCAACGCAGATAGTTATTGTTTTTCGCGATGTCTCAGCCAGTGTGTGCCCAAATGACCCACCACGGCATCACGTCCACAGCCAAACGGCCAGGTTCGAGTTTGGCCACCAGTGAAGAAAGCCAGCTCTAAGAGAGTGCACGATGCTCGCGGATACCGCCACCGGCCACGGGTGCTGACATTTTCCAGGGAGTTAGATATTCAGACAGAAGACCTTGGCATAAACCTGAATCCGCAAAGCGAGGTGCCCAGGCAATGAAACATCAGCTAATTTTGATTACTGCAACCTGTGCTTGTAATCAGAATATCATACTACCCTGAGGAGCCCTCCAAATTGTCCCCGTTTGCATCTATATCCGGTTTGTCTGAGTGCATGTAAAGCTAACAAGGAAGCTAGAATCGACAAGCGGAGACCCCAAGTTGCTGCTGCACGCCACATGCATGCTTATGCAGGCCACCCGTAGACCAGAAATTGCAAATAAAGGCTATCAGGGGAGTCTAAAAACATCGAAACTGTTTAGAGGCTTTTTAGACGCAGACAACACATGCATAAATCGCCAGATTAATAAAGCAACTAAACCAAGATAAATGTATGTCTACATATACATATATACGTATAACATACAGACATGCATACATACTTACGTACATACAGAAAGACATACATACAGACAGACACACATGCATACATAAACACATTACATTGCATACATACACACATACATGCATGCATACATATATACATGCATACACACATGCATCCATCCATACATACATGCATACATACATACATACAACTGTGCAGGCAGACAGAGAGAAAGACAGGGAGACAAACAGGTACGGTATGCACATACAGAGAAGCAGTGATGTATCTGTATTCGTAGCTCGCACGGGAGGTCGCTCTGCACCAGGCTTGGCCGGAAAACTCGAGCCCACGGTTGGCAATGTCAGACATATGCACAAAGCCCTGTCGAGGGCACTGCTGCTATGCCGTCGGCCGAACATCTTCATAATCATGGCAATACCAATGCATGGCACCGTTGGTCCTCATAGCTAATCTCATGAAGTCTGGGTAGTTATTGCGACAATGATGTGGCGAGGTTCTGTCGACTAGGGTCCCTTCGTGGGTATCCGAAATAGCACATCACTCTTACAACAAGAGCCTTCGGAAGGACCCTGTTTGCCTCTATTTCAGAAACTGCCCACGCGTGGCAAGTTTTTGGGAATACCTGCAGAAAGAATCCGCTTCGGGCTCTCAGGAGTCCATTCCACAGCCATGCTTCAAGCCAGCCATGATGAATGCATGAAACCCACATCAAATCCCCCCTTTTAAAGACTAGAGCCGCGTGTTTGTGCTGACTGCAGCTCATAGCGGGACCCGCAGAAGGAACCAGCATTTCCGAAAGCCGTATTGAAGTTCGAGAGCATTGGAGAGTCCAGGTCACCGGCACAGTTGCAGCTACCTACCGAAACTGTAAACGCGGGCTGCGCACCTCACCCTCAAGCCATCCCTGACTCACCAAGCATCTGCAGCGTTCAAGGTTAAGGGCTCTGTGCGAGGAATATACAGCAACATGGGAGATTTGAACATGGTGATGAGAGAATCCTGCTCTGCGTGCTTCGGGTTTGGAGTCTAGCACGTTGGGTTTATGGGTAAACCAGGAGTAACGGCTGGAAGAACGGGTTTGGGTGTCAGGATTCGAGACTCTGGGTACATCGTCTCCAGGCGTAGGCCCTGAAAGGTCTGACATCGCAGAGACACCGAGCACCAGGGCACTGGGTGGAGGGCGAGGGCAGCGAAAGCAGTCGTAGCAAAGCCAGGCACGATCCGGTTGGCGCATGCCCGAGTTCGAGACTGCAGGACGCGTACATGGAATGTAGGAATAAGGGCGCCTAAGTTTGGGTGCTGGGAAGCCCATCTGTTGCTTCCATGCTGCTTTCCGCATGATAAAGCGTATGGGTGGATATAAGGCTGGATGGCTGGATGGATGGATGCACCTTACATCCCGGTACCACATTACAGCGTGGCATTTTGTGGGGATAAATTAATTAGATTAGATTGGGCTGAACTACAATACAGCACTACCATTACATCACATTACATAAATAACATTACATTACGTTCTCTCGTGTCCCTTTTCTTGACTTTACATGACACTGTTGCGTTGTACCACGTAAATTAGGTCACATTGCAGCACAGTGCATCGCATTAGATTGCATTCTAGTGCGTTAATGTGGGTGTCGGTTTAATAGTGGGGTACCCCCCCCCCCCCCCGACCAAAAATAAAAAGTCTATTTAATATGGAACCGGTAGCCCCTGGCAGGGAATTGGGAGGTGCCGGGGTTTGGGGGCTGGCTTGGGTGCAGGGTCTGCGGTTCTGCGCGACTGCGCGGTCGGGGGTCGGGGGGGTCTGGGCCAGCGCCTGAAACCCTAAACCCTGAACCCTAAACCCTAACGAATCCTAAACTCCTAGACCCTATAACAAACCCTAAACCCTAAGCCCTAAACCCTTCCAAAGGGGGGTCGGTCCAGATTCGACCCAAAACTTAATTTTTTATACAAACTTTAGTACTGGAGAGGCCTCTTTTGAGCTAGGGTCCAATCCCCGATTCGGCGGTTCACCCTAGCAGCCCCCCCCAATAATCAAGGTATAGTAGAATAGTAGTACAGTAGTAGTACAGTAGTAGTATAATAATAGTGCAGTAGTACAATAGTAATACAACAGTAGTACAGTGGTAGTACAATAGTAGTACAGTAGTAGTACAATAATAG